AGTGATATTGAGTGCTGGGAATTGAATCCTTTTCTGATCTCCCCAAGGAACATGTTCTCAAGTATTAGAAGCAGCGCATTAAGGGACTGAGGAGGAACTTAAGTGCTTCAATTTTGAATTAAATTAGAGTTTTTCTCATTCCAGTGGGACACATAAGCCAAAAGAGGGGTTTAATTTTTGTTGGTAGTACCTCGAGACCTTGCTGACAAGCAATTTGTATGGTGCTGCTGTCAAAAAGTTATGTTATTTTCCTATAATGACTCATATATGTCAGCTTTACTGCTTGCTCAGCTGCTGCTGAGAGACTCCATGTGCAGATGTGAGCCAGCTCCATACATCCATCTGACTAGAGACACTTAGTGGAATTGCCCTGACAGTGGAGCTGCTTTTTTCAGTATTCTCAAGACTGTCTGCAGTAGCAGAGCTTGTTTTGCTGACAGGAAATATCAGCCAAGACTGGAGCCATTAGTTTTCCTATGGATACATCTGTGCGCGTGCCATTGCTTTAACTTCTGCTTTCTCTCTGCCTCTTTTGCACTGCTTTCCTTTTGGTTGTAACAAGTTCTTCGCTTTCTTCCTGGGCAGCCACCAGGCATGAGCAGCACTTCTCAGCTTTCCTTATCTGACATTCCTGTTGGCCCTGGCTGGAGGCAGAAAGGAGCCAGGGATAACTTCTGACAGTGGAGGAGCCATGGAAATGGAGCCCTTCTTCTTCCCAGTCTACTTTGTGTCCTCCAGAGACTCCTGCAATGCCATGGGAAGCTGTGTGCAAGGCCAAGTTCTTGTGTGTGCTTAATACATCATGCAGGGGACCTAAAATGGCAATTCTTGTGTCTAACCCACAGATGCTTCAGTTCTGACTTGAAAGAACTGTTTGTGCAGCCTGTTTCCTGCTCTCTCATTCTTTTCCTTTCACTGACCCAAATTTTTATTGGGCTCTGCACCACTTCAATCAAGTTTAAAATAAAATGCATTTTATTTTTGGATTGTGCTACTAGAGGAAGTTTAAAAGTCACTTTAAAAAGCATGGTTTGCAGTTTCAGCATCAATACTCACCTTGATGAGATTTTTGGCTCTATATTTCATCCCTGGAGAATGATCTATATGATGAAGGAAGTAAAAGGATAAATTACAATACTCTAAGAACTCAAGTGCTTTGCCAAACACTGTTAATTTTTCTGCTACAGGTAAGCAGTTAATGCATTGCCTCTTAAGTCTTTGAGACAGTTACAGAACAGGAAACTTATAATTATAGGCAAGAATGACCCTGGTGAACTCCTTATCCTTATTACATTGCTTCTAGTGAGTTATTTGCAGTACTGCAGTGAAATATCAGTGACTCCTCTGAAAGAAATGCATAATTTTCCATCAGCTGCATATACTTAGAGCACCATCTTCAGCTCTGTCATCTGTTAACACAGTGTTCATGCCAAAAAAAAAAAAAGGAGAAATTAAGTGGTGTTTCCAGCAATCCAGAAACCTCATAACCAGAGTCTCCTGTCTCATCCTGCTTTTTTGACCACAAAATGTTACCTTTTTGGAGAATGTGACCTCTGACACAGCAAGGGGAAATGCTTCTCTAGTGAGCAAATGTCTACTGAGATGCCAGTGCCACTCCTCAGTTTGTCAGTATGGGCAAGAGGGGAGTGTGTTGGAAGTTCCTGTGGGGAAGATTTTGTGCCCAGAAAAAGTAGTCCCAGTGGTGTTGGAGAAGGGAGGTTTTGTGGCTGGAGGTAGTCCTGCCTGTCCTCTCCAGTGGAAAGGCAGAGGAAGGCTAGGCCAGGGCTGTGTGTGTACAGCACCTACTTCCACTCCATGCTAAAAATGTTTTTGTCCCTTCCCTCTGTCTGCAGTGGGTCCTGCCTTGTCCCTGCTGTTACCAGCACTGCCTCATGCTTGCTTTTCTTCTTTGCTTGGTTCAGATACTGCTCTTCTCTCTTAGTTCTGCTCTTCCCCCACTTCTCTGCTGGACGGCAGCAGCTGAGGCCATAAACTCCAGTCCCTGGGAGCTGGAAAAGGCACTGAGTTAAGAGCTGGTGATCACACGCGCTTACCAGTTATGCCAAGAGTTACCTTTCAAAGATATTTGTGTTTTATGAATGCAAGCGTCTTGGGGTGAGCTAATAAAGCAGTGCAGAGGAAGCAGGAGCAGAACTTGAGTTTCTGGTGGCAGAGTACTGTATTTGCAGGGTGCCCTGTGGCAGGAAGGAATGATGAATCTGACTCCATGTTCTCAGAATGCTAATTTATTATTTTAGGATACTATATTATATTAAAAAATATTATACTTAACTATACTAAAGAATACTTACAGAACTATACAGAAAGAATACTTACAGAAGGCTAAAAAGATAGTAAAGAAAACTCGTGACTCTTTCCAGAGTCCCAACACAGCCTGGCCCTGATTGGCCAAAGAGCCAAAACCACTCACAGCAGAATCCAATGAAACAATCTCCAAACACATTCCACGTGTGAGCAAAACACAGGAGAAGCAAATGAGATAAAAATTGTTTTCATTTTCTCTGAGGCCAGGAGAAAATCCTGGGTGAGGGGATTTTTCAGAGAATGTGAAAGCCACAGAAGGGGAGAGCGTGTGTGGCTGCCGCTCCCGCCCTCAGCAGCGTGCCCTCAGCGGGATGTGTCGCTGTCACTGCCCCGCTCCCTGAGAAGCCACTCGGCATTATTTTGAGAGAAAAGGAAAATGAATACTTCTCTGTTAGTGAAATATCTCAGGCAATTGTAAACGTTGGGTAAAGTAAGTGTTCAGCCTTGATTTTAAGTATTTTTTTTTTAGTGGGCCTCAAATCGTGAGGTGCATGCGCACCAAGCTGTTCAAGCCTCATGGTAGCACCTTGTGCTGTGTTTCATGGTTGTTCCTTGCCTTTCCTGTGGAACTTTTGGATCTGTTGGTCCTTTTTGGACCAACCTAAACCCTTTGTGTGCTCTGCATTCCCAAGGGCAGCAGGGTGAGGGGAATGCCGGGCCTCCCTCACACCTGCCTGGGGCTGGCAAAGGCAGGCTCCCTCCTGCTGGCATTGCTCATTCATCATCCAGGGCTCCAACCTGGGAAAGTGCTCCGTGTCCTGGGCTCCTTCTGAGGCAGTGGGAGTTCATGGTACTCAGCTGCTTGAAAAATTAGATCTTCTGGAAGGTGGGGCGTATAAAACGTTTGTGCTTTTACCTCACAAAGCTCTGTAGAAGAGGGCATGAAACGTACTATAAATGAAGTATTCAGAGGGGAAAACAAAAATTTCCTGATTTGTTCTTAGCACCAAACATTTAATCATGACATTTGGTCTTAGAAAATGTGCAACTCTCAACATTGCCAATTCATTTTACCCACAAACCCACAACAGACTGATGATGTGCATACAAAGGTTATTTATTTTGAGCACAGACAGGGAATGTGAGTATTCCAAATGCTTCCTTATATCTCCCTGTGGGATCTCTTTAATAAGTTGCATAATATTTTTCTGTATTAGAAGATGGTAAGACAGACATGGTGGGGCTCTTCTTTACTTAAATACACTGGTTATGTTTTCTTTTTTCTTCTTTGGAGGAAATGCAAGCAGAGAATGAGTAGTTTGTGAACAGTGTTAGACTGAGAAGCATGACTTCAAAGGCCTTTCTAACAATTTATTCTGAAACTATCAGCCAACAGATGACGTTCCAAGTAAAATAACTAATTATGTGGGAAGTTAGGCAAGCATTTATTTAGTTTTTGGTTTCTTGGACTGGCAGATAATTCTTTAATAGCAAGAAAAAGAATACATGACTTACATTTCTGAACTTGAGTCCAGGTAAACCTTCTTCTGAGGACAAGTTTATACATAACCTGTAACAATATTCTTGGAAAATGTGAAAGCCACTTGGATACTTTCTGTGGACCTTGGCTGACTCTAAGATGCTCCCCGTTAGAGATGAAGAACAAGGTTAAAGAAGGATAAGGGAGTGCCGCAATGAAAGTATTTTAGTTCTTTGAAACTTGTGTTAATTTAGAATAGCATTGCTCTTCCAGAATGTAAGGGCATTTATCTGGAATATCAGGCACAGTTTGACAGTGATCATGTTACTAGGAAAAGCCAGTGGGGCTTAGCAGGACAAACATCATTACTTTATATCATCAGCACATGACAAGGTAAGACTCCAAACACATAACTTCAGCATGGAACATGTGGAGACGTGGAGATAAAATTCCTTTCTATGTGCTACAGCACCAAACCCTTTCTCATTTTGGCAAGAGTGTTAGGAAAAGGGGGGCTCTCTGTGATTGCTTGTTTTCTGGTTCCTTTTGTTCTGGTGTAACTTGTGATGATGTTTCTGCTTAGCCTGTTTTGTACATTTGCTTGTGGCAAATGATTGTGCCAACTCTAAATTGCTCTGGGTAAGCTGCACCCTTGGCCCTAACTTGTGCAACAGCAAAAAAAAAAAAAAAAAAGCCATCAAACCATGTTGACTTTTGGCTGCAGGTTTCCATGACTTCTTAAGACCAAAATATCACTTGCTCTTACATAAATTCTGCTTGGGGAAAAAATCTGGACTTCTGGGGTTTGTACATCAGTTATCTAGGACTGAAAAAAAAAAATAAAATGAAATCCTCAAGCTCTCAGTGAAGCTGGTTCTTGTTGTAGCAGTAGGCTTGAGTTAGCAGGGTTTTTATAACAGTCTTTGTGAGTGTAAGTCATGACAGCACGAATGTGTTATGTTTATTTGTAACACACATACACAACCTTTGCCTCCTTGGTTATCCAGTAAGACTGGCTCAGCAATTCTTTTCTTCTATATTAAAACTTGCTTCCATCTTTATTCCTTCATCAGACTCCACATTTAAAAATCTTTCTGCTAAGCACACATATCTGTGAGACTTCCTTTTCAAACTTTCATCCTTCCCAACAGTCACTGTATGCTGGGGTTTTATGTTCATGTTTTATGTGCAGTTGGTGGATTTAATTTTGCTATGCGGAACCTGCTTTAATATGACCTGCATTTATCTTTTCTAGGAATAACATGCGTGGAAGTCCTTGCTATTGTTGATCACCTGTACCCCAGCACAAGAGCTCCAGCTTAATCATTCTCTGCTCTCAGAACATGGAGGAAAATGATGATGAAAAATACAATCAAGCTGGCCAGATATTTGAAAACTTTGTGCAGGCATCAACATGCAAAGGCACCATTCAGGCCTTCAATATTCTCACTCGCCAACTTCAATTAGATCCTTTGGACAACAGAAACTTTTACACCAAACTAAAGTCGAGAGTGACCACGTGGAAGGCCAAAGCTTTGTGGAACAAGCTTGATAAGAGAGCAAGTCACAAAGAGTATAAACGTGGGAAGTCTTGTATGAACACTAAGGTAAGTAGAATTGAGTTTTGGATTTCATAGCTTAGGAATTTTTAAACTTGTTTTTCTGCGGAAGCAAGGTTTCTTCCATCACATACAGTGTGTCTGTTGAGTAACCTTTCCTTTAATATGCTGAAACTGGTTATTGGCTGTTTTGGACAAATTTTAAAGTGGTTTTTTTCTGAAAGTTCGGTGGAAACTCACAATATATGAGAGTGAGCCTTAAAGCATCCTGTTTTACAGTCTGTCATGGGCTTTGTTATACTGGAGTATAACTAGACACCAAAATGTGAAGGGTTTTTTTAATTAAAACTATCACTGAAGTGTTCTTTCATGGACTCAGTAGACAGGTGGTGTTCAAAGTCTCTTTCTTCTGGTTTGCATCATTGACTGAAACTTCTCAAAAGCGTGAGAAGAACACCAAGTTACCTTCAGTACATAGAGAGTCCTCTGGTTTTATTCACTTTTCATAAGCTCTCAATGATTTTTAATGCTTTTTAAGGTCATAAGGGTCCTTAGTATAGTTTTATATAGTAAAGGAGTGTCATCACAGCTATTTAGACTGTGTTCCTGGCAGGCTCTGGTTTTCTCCTCTCCTTTTTCCCTTCATTTCCCTTTTTGACCTGTGCTTCCTTCCTCCCTTTTTGTTCTTTGGAAAAGTCCTTCAACGTATGTCATGGAACATCTTTGTGATGAAAACAGACAGGAAAGGGAAGGAGTGAGAAAGTGTCTGATGATTAACAAATTTTAGGAAATATTCCACACGTACCTCACCATACACATACAGCCCCAGGTCCAAATTTCTGTGGTGGTAAGTTTGGGGAAGTGTTTGCAACACAAAAAAGCAGTTTTAAGACCCATTTGAAATGTAAAAACTAAGTCTTCTCTCAAATGGTGACATTGCAAAGCCAAGGGTTTGTTCTTTAAGCTTCCTAAGCAAAGTGATTAATATTTATTTTGTGAGAAGATTTTGTGGAAATGGCTTGGTGCATAAAATATATAGTCCGTGTAATGCTTTACAGTGTTGCCAAGGAGGAAGCTAATCAACACCTTCCACAGTGTTGAAAGTATGATATTACTGCCCCTTGAGATGAAAGATTTATTTTTAGTGGCATGGTGTAAGTATTTGCAGAAATTAATGGACATTTCTATCATGCACATATGACCAACTTGCAAATGGCTGTAGAATGTCTGCATGTCAAGAGCGTGGGTACAGATATTCCGTGAAATACTTGGAGATGTTCACCACGAGCCTGGCCCGTGCCCAGCCCTGCACTTCAGCGTGTCATCGCTGATTTAACGAGAGAAACATGAATCTTCACATTGCTGGCAGGGAGAGCAGCCACAGTGGGGATATCTACCAGACATTCCTGGGGTGTGAATCACAGCCTCTCTGTGCCTGGCCCTGCAGGAGGGGAGGCTGCTGTGCTGGGAGAGGAGTGTGCACCCCAGCCATTGCAATGGTGGGCTCTGACAGCCCCACTCACAGATAAAGGGTTCTCAGAGATGCTGGCAGCCCAGGCAGTGCAGAGAGGTCAGGCTGCAGCACGCACAGCACCCTTACCTGCAGTGCAGCTGGTGATTTTAGCTTTGTGCCTGATTCTGTGCTGTTTGCAGCGGTGGAACAGGAGCTCTCAGCTGGCAGCCGTGCCCTGCACTCACCTGCTCGAGGCACATCTGCCCCAAGTAAAAACCCTGATTAACAAGCAGCATCACAACTTGAGCAATGAGCTAAGTGGGTTTTTGTTGTTGCAGAGCCAAGGTTGCTAGTAGGCATCACTTAAAAAAAAAATACATGACTTCAAGGCTTTAAATGAGGTTGTGGCCTTGAATGCTGTAGATGAGCCTGCGGCTCATGGTTCTTAGATATGGCTTTGCAATCTTCCCAGTCTTTGGAGGAGATAGAGAAGATGCAGTTGGGTTCTAAATGACTCAGAGGAGGCTTGTTGGGTTTTTTGTTTGCTTTTGGATTTTTTGGGGTGGTTTTTATGCTTTTTGTTTGAGTTTTTTTTTTAAAAACAAAAGGAAAATCTACTGCCTCATCCCAAAACTGCTGGGTTTTGGTTTTTTTCTTTCTTTTTGTTTTTGCATGGTATTTAAGAGCTGAATGCTGTACTTGTTGACTTTGTGCTTGTAAACTCTTCAGCCACACTTGAGTTACTCATTGCAATATGCACAAGTTTTATGCATACAGAACGTTCCACTCCAGCTAAATAACAATAATCCTGTGTCTTAAGTGCTCTTGGAGAACATTGCCAAATATGGCTTTCAAAGTTTCTACAATGATACAGTTTTAAACTGGATGAATAAAACTGGTTGAGCAATTTTCAAGAAGTTTAAACCCACTGCTATTTCAGAGTTGTTTTATTTGGAGCATTATTTTCCCTGAAGTCTTTGTAGGAAAATAAGCAAAACAACCTGCCCCAAAATAAAGCCAGACTGCTGAAGAAAGACATGAACAGAGCTGGGGCAGAAATGATGTTTCTGAAACTGTAGGAGTCCGCCTGTGTGAGTGTTAAATCTTCACAAAACACAAACTTCCTTCAATCTTGAACTTCTAAGATGGGAATAAGTCCTGTTCAAAATTTGTTTCTGGAGCTGGCACCTGCCTAGTTCACCAGCATTAGAGAGAAACAAAAGTTTGTACTAACCAGGCAAAACTGTAGATATCACACTGTGGTTTTTTGCAAATATGTGCAGAAAAAGCACAATTTTTTAATGCTGACAAAATTTCTCTCTGGTTTTCATCTTCTACTAATTAATGCAGAGGAGCATGGCTGGACTCTGAAGGGATTATTTGTTTCTTTGGGGGATGGAGCTGGACAATCAAAGAACATTAAAGGTTTAATTCATGTTGTTTCCTATGTTAGCAGTTTGAATATCAGTCTAAATTTTTGAACATGCAAAACATCATGCAATAATGAACAAGAATATATCCGGCTAGTGTTGGTATATTCATTAGTCTTTTTAAGACATCTGTGAATGTTGCCTCTCTGTATGGAGCAGATTCATTACTTGAGCTTAATTTACATTTACTTTCAGTTTACTTGTGTAAATGACAGGAATATATGCATAAATGAGGCTCCCGCTGATGTTTGAGATAGTTATGAATATGTATCAGGGGGTAGCACCTGGCTCCCGCTGTGCACCCGAAATTCAGGCTCTCCCATGCTTCAGGGGAGCAGAAATTTCTGCACATGGGAACATCCCAGGCTCACTCTGAGAAGGGGGTGTTAGCTTTCTGAAGCACACAAATGTGGTATTGCCTTCCCCTTCAAAGGTGCACGCTGTTTTTGCAAAATACATGCTTACACTTGAGAACTAAGAAAACTATGCTTGAAGTGCTACTGTGTAATTATCAGCTGCCTTGGTAGACTCTGGCATTTCTCTCTGGGTATTTGAGTTTTGGGACAAAGCTCCAGTTGAGGAGGGACAAATGCCTGGGTGCAGCTTTGTTCTTCTGAGCATTGTCTGTATTTTGGACCCTACCTTGGGCACAGTTCCTGGGCGGGAGACTTGTACAGTCTGAGCTGCTGTTTTGAGGCTGAACAATATTAGCATAAAGCAAGGAAATAAAATTAAGCTAAGAAGTTTTGAAAGCTGTGCATTTAAAACCATACATATGTGCATTTGTAGGTATATGTGTATATGGAATCATATAAACCCTAAAAAACAAATTCAGTGGTCTTGAAGTTTATAATAGTATCATTTAGGTTGGAAAAGGCCTCTAAGATTGAGTCCGGCTGGTTAACTCAGCACCACTGTGTTCACCACTAAGCGTGGTCCTCAGATGCCTCTCTTTTACTCATTCCTGAACTCAGCCTTTCAAATCTTGTTTTACAATAGATGAGGTTTCCTTCCAGAAACTGCTGTTGGGAGACTTATTGCAAGAGAATAACTCTAAAATTGTTTTTGACCGTGTTTCCAGGACTTACATAAGGATGAAGTGGCTCTTTTTGGTACTGTCATGTGCTGTCAGTCCGACCAGGGCCCGGTGGCATCTGTGTCCCTGCTGCAGAGAGGGCTCCATGGTGGTGCTTTATCCAGCACAGCAGTGCAGAGAGCCTGTGGTTTCAGGGGAGCTGGGCCAGGGTGTGAGTCAGCAGAGGAGGAGCCCTGGGTCACGGCTGGGGTTGGAGGTTTTCTGACTGAACCCACTGAGCCACGTCACCCTGTTCTAACCACACTGGTGTACCTATCAGCAATAAAATGGGGGATGGTCTTTATCTGCAAACCCCTTCCACTCCTTTTCACATTGTCTCCATTTCTAGAGACTGCCAAATGAATACCTTGGGAGTTACCAAACCTTCTTTGCTGGTGCTGAGAAAGGGAAAGGAGCTCCTGATGTGTCTGGGTGCTGCCCTGTTCCGTAGCCGTAGGAACGGATGGGCAGGATGAGCGCAGGGTGCCAGGTCTCTGCTTCTTGTTGTGCACAAAGTGCCTTCCTTCCAGTCCTCAGTTGCTTACAAACATCCCATTCTGCAGCCTTGCTGGGCACAAAATGCCTTCCTGCCAGTCCTCAGCTGATTACAGACATCCCATTCTGCAGCCTTGTTGGGCACAAAGTGCCTTCCTTCCAGTCCTCAGCTGATTACAAACATCCCATTCTGCAGCCTTGCCCCTCATGGTAAATCAGGCAGGTTGGGTTCCACGTCTTCCTCTGTCCTGCTTAACAAATACTTGTCTCCTAATTAAGCAAATCATCCAGCATGTATGAACCTGCAGGTAAAGTGGCCAAATTTCCTCCAAGTGCTGGCATTTGTTGATCCTTCAGAGGCAATAGGGATTTTCAGTTTCTCCAGTGCTGTACCTACTGGTATAGAAGCCAGTGAGCTTGAATGTTCAACTGACCTGACTGATTGCATCCCTCAAGACAAACATTTGGTTTTTAATTGAGTAATTGAATTGTAAGATGAAAGAAGGCAAAGCCAGTTATGCTCCAACGGAAAAAATATCCATATTATAATGAAAATTGTAACCTCTTTCATCTTATAAAGAGTAAATACCCATCC